GTGTGTGTGTGTGTGTGTGTGTGTGTGTGTGAGTGTATGTATTTGCATGTATATATATATATATATAAAGCTATTTTACCCATTCATATTTGAATTTAGATTTTTGTTTTTGTATCTTGTATAGTTTTTTAACCTTAAACTTTATCATTTCTGTTTCTCACTAAAATTAATGGAGAACTTCAATTTCTTTAAAAAACGTTTTACTTTTTGAATTTGACTTTCACTTCTTGCTTTATTTTTTTTAGCTTTTAGCTAATGTTTTGCTGGTTTTCACTTTCAGCTCCTACCTTACTATTTATACCTTTAGTCTGCTATTTTGCTAAATTTGTCTTTTAGCTACTGTTGAGGTGGTTTTACAGTTTAGCTGCCATTCATCTAGTTTTAGATTTTGCTTAGTTAGTTTAGGCTTTTAGGTTTTGTTTTGCTTATTTTAGCTTTTGCTCTCAATATTTTAACTTTATCAAATTAGTTTTAACTTCAGCAAAATTCTATGAAATCATTAAGACTTTTCAAAAGAGGCCTTTTTTGTAGTTGAGCATAAAGTTTTCACAGAAACCCACTTCTAAGAATCTGAACTAATACTTCAACAACAATAGTCTGGTTTTGATACCAGAATGGATTCTTAAAGGTGTTTAAGAAGTGAGCGTGCCCAGATAATCTGAGCAGGTACTCGTTTTATATATGTCCTAACACGTTCTCTTATATTACCTCCAATCAGGCGCTGTGTGCAGCCGTGGTGACGCCTGACGTGCTGCAGACCATGGCTCTGGTGTTCAGCGGCGCTGATGTGATGTGCGCCACCGGGGATCCCACCTACTCCACTCCGTACCTTTTGGCTCAACGTGCTGGACAGAAGGTGCAGATGGAGTTTCTGCATCAGAACAAGCTATCAGGTAAGCAGGTTATGGCTATCGTTAAGGGTTTCATGCTGGATTAAAAAGAGCTATGATTATTGCAGTGTCAGCACTGTGATTATTGGATGATGCTTTCACTCGCTGTATGGTAATAACATATTTAACCAACCAGATGGATTCTCACTGTCTCACTCAGTAGTGTGGTTGTTGTATTGGAAGAAGAGAAACAGAAGTGAATAAAAAGTGGTTTTATTGCAGGTTATATCAAGGTTACTGTGCTGAAATAAAGAACATTTCTTAAAAAAAGATATATTTCCTACTGATTTTAATGACAGAGTTTTAAATTTTTTTTTTTTATTTGATACCTTCCCTAAATGCTCAAATAAAAGTTGAAGTTACAATAGAAAAGTTTTTCCAGGGGTATTTTTTCAGCTTGGGGAGGTTGGCAGGCTCCAAAAGTCAGCAGTGAAAATGAATGACATGTTTTCTAAGTCAGACCCGAAAACTAAAGGAACTTTGGTTTGCTGTTCTGTAAAACCTGTACAAAAAACGACCCTTAAACTAGATGTGACTTCTCCAACCACTAGTGCCTCATGTATTTTACCTGTTGTCTTATAACGTTAACAAGCCGATCATGGATTCGACGCCGTACTGTGCTGGTCGGCACATTCACGGCTGTGGGAGGTTTTTAATTTCCTCTCTTTTAGTCAGGAATAGGAAATGAAGGCAGAAAAATCCACAATTTGGAAGCAAGCAAGTTTTTTTAAGTTTAAAGTTCATTCGCTTTTTTCCGACTTTACCACCCCCCCCCCAAAAAAAAAAAAAAAAAAAGAGAAACCTCTCCTTTGTATTACCCACGTTGCATTCCCAACATGGTGTGGCTTCTACCTCATAGGTGTGTTTTCTTCCTTCATGTTTTCCACATGGGGCCACTGATAAGAACGGATCAGATTAAAAGAGAGGAGGCCGGCTGGGGGGACGGGGAGAAGACTTTCTCCAGGACTGTATTTTTACATAATGTATTCGGTGCATCTGTGTGCACTCGCCAGCACCGAGCCTGTTAGGGACTCGCTAATTGCTAGCATGGGTCACCTGGTCACCATGGAAATGGCAATTACGTGCGGTGTGTTAGAAGAAACACACATGCAAAAATGYTATATAAGAAAAAAAACAGACATATTTCTGTGTATGTCCATAKGAAATACAGAGGATCCACACACACAGACTATATGCTCATTATAGGTCTGGATGTTGTGGGGCTTCATCGTTAACAGACAAAATGTGGACCTTAGCCAACTTTTGCTGCGTAGGCTGATGTCCAACTAAACTAACAAACTGGAAACACTGGGTCAGGCCACCCAAATGTTCCGCTGACAGATTGACATTACTCCGGGCCTTCAGGGAGATATCGCCTCGGGGACAACAGTCAGACCCAGCACTTTGGATGGTCGGACTAAAAGAGTGTCCGCAAGGGAGCCACTCCTGAGAGTGATATTACCCAGGGTCAGACTTCACCATGGAGGTGTCTTGTTTACAGACCTGATGCCRTTTTAGAGGGAGGTTAAAAATGTCAGCGTTGGAAAGCAGTTTCTTTCTAAAATCCGCAAATAGCTGCTCATTATCTCCTGACACTGGGCTTGTACGCTGCCATTGTGAGAACCCTGCACACGGCGGTTCATGTTCAGTACCAGCTACAGTGTTACTGCAATGTTTGAGTTTTGATTCACTACAGCAGAAAGGACACACGGTTCAGAAGCTGATTTTGTTTTGGCTCCTTGTATTTGGTTTTCTTTGAGGGTGGGCAATAATGTTTTTGCTTGTATTTCTGCATGTGTGTTGTATTAGCTGTGTGGGACATCTTTGGGATATTAGGGAATCCTTGTGATGACTTTTGCACTTGTGAGGACATTTTGCGTGGTCCACACAAGGGAAAACTCCATTTGTTTGCGGTTAGGTTTAGTGTAAGGGCTCAGGGTTAAGGGCTTGACACACGGGAGGCGACGTCGCTCGCTCTCCATTCATTTCCTCTGGAGCCTGTGCGGTGAGGCGACAATCGCTTGCCCTCCTCCAGCTAAGCGACCGGCGAAAATAGTGCATGTGAAATTTCGCGCTCGTACACGTAGACGTGCACACGCGAGCTTGTGACGCGACATATGAAAGTTGAAAAATGTTCAACTTTTGTCGCTGTCGCTTAGCGTACAACCAATCAGCGAGGGTTTCATTGACTGACCAATGAGAGGAGAGTATGCTACACACTGCCGTTAGCTAACACTTTCACCATGTGATTAYTAAAAAGCTTTGTGGGAATTTATTGGCACCAGGGTGAAGTTTATGGTAAGTTTTTCCTCATAAAACTGTATCTTGATGTGTGTTTGTTTTTCAATATCATTAGCATCGCAAGATTTGTTTAGTTTACACGTCCGTAATGCACACCCCCCTTCAGAGTCAAGAACCAATCAAATTTTGTGAAGACAAGCGACCTGATAGCAACGCTGCAATCGCTATCGCGTCCCGTGTGTCGGGTTTCACCCTAGCTGCGATGACAGCCGTCAATCGCTGTAGTTTGTCGCTCCCCGTGTGTCGAGCCCTTTAGGCTGTAGAATATAATGGAAGTAAATGCATGTTCTCACAAACATAGTAAAACACAAATGTTACAAAAATATTAACTCATGAACCACTGGACAAATTTTTATGAAACTCTCTAAGTATTCATTGGGAGTATATCTACAACTCAAACTTTAGAAGTTGACTCAATTAAAGATGGCTGCAACAGTGAACACAGAACTGGTTGTATCTTATTTATATTGTAAAATGCTGAGCTAAAGTTTGAAGTGGTAGTCACTGAGAGTGATACCTGCCACATGTTCTGAGCGCTAACATGTCGTGAGAGATTTTACATGTTTGACCAAAATGGCTTCAACATTTCTCATCATAAGATGATCCAAGGCTACGTTCACACTGCAGGTCTTAATTCTCGATTCCAATTTTTTTCAAAAATCCAATACTTTGTTTTTGCGCAGCCTCCATCAGACTCCACTGTTAACTCCAAATCAGTTGGAAATCAGTTGGAGTACTGTACAAAGTAAGAGAACTGTTCACTGATAAAGCACTGTTTATGTTGTATAACGCTATAATTGTTCCACATTTAATTTACTGTATTGACGTATGGGTTAAAGCTTGTAAAACTATCACAAATCCTATTTTCATTTTACAGAAAAGAACTAAAAGAGTTAGTACTAGAAAAAATTACAGCCATCCGTCAAATATATTATTTCACGATTTGAAATTATTAAAATTCTATGATTTGGTTGATTATAATATTTTACTGTTAATGTACAGAGCTCATAAAGGTGTGTTACCTTCCAACATTCAGGTAATTTTTTTTTAAAAGAGAGAGTTGCTATTATCTTAAAGGAATTGAAATGTTTGTGAAACCCTGGGTTCATACGAGCCTGAAGGAGCGAACAACTTTAATCCAGGGAATAAGATTATGGAACAGCATGGAAGATGAGGTTAAAATTGCCAGATCCTTGTATATATTGAAGAGAATGTTGAAAAAATAATATTCTGCAGAAATATGGAGAATTATAAGTGAATTCATGCTAATTGTTGTTTGAGTTGGTGTCAGTTCTTGGTTTTAATTCACTTTTAAGTGTTTTAAGTTGTTTAGAATTTTTATTGTATTTTACTTTTCTTTTGAACATATTTTGGGTACAAAAAAGGGGCAGATATAAGATTTATTCTTCTTCTGCTGCCTTTCATTTCATTTGATTTCATTTTGATTGTATGTTTTTTTGAACTTTAATTTTGTATTACAAATGAAATGAATAAACTACTTCTACTACTAACTCTTCAAAGCACCGATACGACCCTCATGCTCAGAAAAAGACGCGATGTCACATTCAGCTCGCTGTTTACAGAAGTAAATAAGGATGCTACATGTTAGCATGTCGATTATGAAGTTGTTGTGCGATCAGAACTGATTAAATGATTATATGACCTGCTTATTTTGGCCATTGTTTATATTTGAATCTGCCTCTGGTTGGCTGCTCCAATCCAGCTTTCTATTTTTGGAACAGGAGCAACGTGCTGAAAAAAAAAAAAAACATTGATCCAGTAATTTTCCTATCCGGGACAAACATTACTAACTTATATTTATTTGGATCATGTGGATGTTGTCCAGGACATGGGAAATTAAAAGTACAAAAGTTGAAGCAACAGGACTTCTGTTCTGTAGCTGAAAACGTGGAGTTAGAAGATTTGAACAGCACAAGGTTGGTAGTGATATTATAAATACTTGGATCAGTCTGCTCACCCACACCTCACTGATGAAAGAGGTGGATGTAATGCGACGTGAGTGTTCAGGTTGAGGTCACTTTGAARAACATCAGATACGTCTCTGATTCAGTACCACATACTGAAAAGGCCTGGGTTGGATTAGAAAAAATTGATATGCATCACATAAACTTAGTGTAAACGTAGCCTTAGTTTAATACTCATGGAAAGTTGCAGGTGATATGCATTCCTTCATGGTAATGTAAACTTAAAAGAAGTCTAAATGACTTTTGTAAAAATGTCACCACACCTGTTCTAGTTACTTCAGTTTTTATTACAAAATGCTCAAACAAAAGCAAAATCTGCTTCGGTTTCTTTTTTCTTTTTTTTYCCTCTCCACAAAGAAGCAGCATCGCTGTAAGAAGATTAAGACCCCCCAAAACTATCCTGACCAGATTCCCCCCCACGGTTGACATTTTTCCAGTCGGACACATTGTCACTTCACACAAAGCGGCTGAAAGTTGTGTCTGCATTGTTCTCGTGCATGTGGCTCCCCCCCTGGACTTGCAGGCAGACTTGTGAAAAAATGGTTCATTAAACAGAAATTGAACTTTTTTTCCCCTCCGTGTTTTATTTTTTTCCTCGTGTTTTGTTGGTAGGATCAGGCAACAATCCGGTACCCATATGACGCCGTCCCAACCGTACAGCTCGGCGTCGACAGAGGGGAGATCGAGGCGAGAAGAGAAGCAGACGTATAGCAGCCA